CACGCACGCACGCACGCACGCACGCACGCACGCACGCACGCACGCACACTTGTTGTTGTGGTGGTGGTGGGCGTTGCATTTTTTATATTGCCTAAAAAAACAACGGCTTGTTATGGCGCTGTTGTCAAATATAAATGGTACCTAAATATGTACATAAACAAGAAATATAAATAAGGCTCAAATTACATTGCCGCGGTTCGGAATGGAAGCATTGCTTTTTGAAACGAAACTGTACATAGCATAATGAACTTTATGTCAATTGTGTGACGTACGAACTAGAAAATATAAGGCAGCTGCGGGAATTCCTGAGACTACGCGAGAATTTTTAAAGACGAAGACGCGCGATCTGTCATGCTATGGACACAAAAAATTGATTCCATCTTGGTTCACGGCAATGGAAATTGAGCTTAAAGTACGTATTTGTTGACAGGAAAGAGTGCGAGAAATTCAACATGAACGTAGAAATATCAGACAGGTGGATACAAGGCGACAGTATCGTCAAAGACTGTGTTGACCTTTGGGGGATACTGAAAGAATACAATGAAGGTATACTAATCTAAAAAAATGCAAAATATGGTCAAAGCAGGTAATCTAACATACTTCATCTTGATTAATTTTTATTTCCTGCAGAATATGACTCAATAGCTGAACAAGAATGGATAATATTCCAAAAGAAATTGCATCTACTGGATGAGTTTACATCAAAATGGGCAAATCGTCTGGAACCTTATACTATAATCACTTTGTACATTCAACAAGAGCTGGATAAATACACTGTAAGACCTAATTTATCTTTACAAGGCTACGATCGTGTTTGTTTATGAATGACATAGTATCATCGTAATTGTAAATTATAAATGTAGACACACATGACGTCTGTGGCCCAACGGTTTGTACTAGGGGCGTTGGATGAGGAGGCCCCGGATTTTTTATTCTTGGTGGGACCAATTTGGGAAATTAACTTTGGTTCTTGTCTGGGTGTTCTGGGTAATGCCCCAAAGTGAATTTCGATGCTCTGGTGTAGGAAATTCCCTATTATTATTTTTACACAGGACTTAACAACGTTATTGAAATATCTTCGCGGATCTGACTTCACCGAACGTCATTGGCGCGAAATCTTCAACCTTCTTGACATGGAATACAAGAAACCTGATACATTACAAGTCAAAGACTTTTTAAATTTTGCTCTTAATATTAAAAAGCAAATAAAGCAGTTACAGGTGAGAACTCATTTCATATATTCTACACTGTTGTTTGGTAATCAGAAGTGTTTTCAAAGACATTTGCTGCTATACTTACTTACTGAAAAACCTTTAAACCGCTAATCTATGAACATTTGTTCCGTATACGTTATTTTATTATTCATCCCATTGCCTGAAATTTTCGTGATTTCTTGAATGAATGACCGAATGAAATATTCTTTATAGTTCTTGTACCCACACCCGCATGATTCTGAAGTATTTGACCTCACTTTCTTAAGGTCTTGTGTACAGACGGCATCACATCAAGCTACACATTGACGGATGTTGTTCCGTTGCACTGAATGCGACATATTCGAACAAAGTGTATAGGTTGATGTACTGTTGATTGTACATCAATATGTGAAATCATTAAGACACAGACAATGTTCTAACTATGATCAAGTAAACGACCTGTGTATATTATTAAAATATTGATTGAAATTTAGCGCTATATACTCCGGATCATACGTATACTGTATCTAGAAAAATACGCGTTTCTTATAAAACTGAGGGCATACTAGCTTGAGCCTGAAGCATGTATTAGATTTAAATGTGTGTGTGTGTATATTTGGGGTTTAGCGCTTTTCCCATTGTAGTTTGCTAGGATATCAGAACGGGTCGGTTACAGCTACTCTATGAACAGCAAGGTCACAGGGGCGTAATAGGCGGATTCTTGCACAAGGAAGTCTAATTGTATTTATGGCATATCAACAGCTGGGTAGGACGACCAGGAAAGTATTCTTTAATAAAAGAGTTTATCATAGTTTGTAATTGTTGTTGATTTAGATAATATCGTCATCGGCGACGAGCGAAGCGGCAGTGCGCAGCGCGTTGAACGAGCTAGAGTTGTGGTTCGCGGGTGCACGACTTACTATTACCTATTACAACGATAAGAGTCGGCGTCTTACGCCCATTGTAAAGGACTTCAAGGATGCCCTTGCTAAGGTAAGTCTATACGCCAAGCCATAAATAACAATAAATTATAACTTTTGATTGGAATTAATCTATTTGCCAAGTTTTCTTGAAATCGGTCACCGGAAAGTGCGCGAAACCGGATTCAACCCATAATTTGCCATCCTAGCTAGGCATCCATACGATGGATATTTAGTGCCTATTGGCACACCATATGTCGCGATGAGTACCAAATAGCTGTTTTTATAATAAATTTGTTTTTGTAATAAATTTGTTTTTGACAAGCTGCAATTTATCAAAGCTGCTCTAATTTCTAATGATAACAAACAAATCGACTAGATGGCGCTTCTTGCACTGATTTTTATCCTTCATTTTTTCCATCCTCTAAGATATAACCAGAGATAGAGACAAAATGTCATTTATTTTGTTTGAAAACTTTTATGCCATACCCTAATAACACAATATCATTACGATGACAACTACGCTTCGATTCCCCTGCCTGAATTCGAAACAATTGACGAGAGAAACCAATGTAACTTGAGCTTTGGTGTAATGGATGAAAATTGAAAAATGACATAATTTAATATTTAATTACAGTGGAAATGTGATTCCGTTTGTTTTGTAATTAGATGTTTTGGTGTTTTTCCCACGCCACCGAATGGAAACCCCCCCCAATAGTTATCTTTATTACAATAAATACAGAATATTTTTGGAATATATGAAGACGTATACGCAAGTCAGTTGTTGGCGCTGTACTATTTCAGCTTTCTAATTTGTGATTTCAGCGCAAAAAAGAGTTGATATTTAAAAGTGATCAGTACCGTTTTTCTGATGGGTTGCCAGGGATGGATGGCTCTTATTACATCTCTTTCTGGTTACGTACTCGAAGGTCTATTATATATAGATTAAAATTATATACATACACCAAGTTTGTGCTCTTTTACCATCGTGGTAAGCAGAGGACACAAATCGCACGTGGAACTAAATACTATCGTAACTCAAAAATAATGGAATTTAGAAAAGACGATTTGAAAATTAAAAAATTTATACACAATACCTCTAATTAGTTATCCACTTATAAACGAGACTATAAATTTAATGGTTCCATTCAGTAATTTTTTGAACTTTCCAATCGTGTTTTCTCAACATCATCATTTTTGAGTTACCACAGTATTTGGCTTCAAGTACGGTGCCCTATATCAATATAAATAACTAAACCCCCTTCAAATAACAATTATTTATTCTTCGAAAATCACTTCTCTCTGTCGACGATTGATTAATCTAACGAGGTCTAACGTGAACTGTCAACAAATAGCCAAACTATAACTGGTCTTCCGTCTCAGCGAGTACACTAATGGCCGGGACCAGTAATTTATTTACAATACGCTGTCCAAATAAAGGACTACAATTTGTGAATAATACTAGATACTCCATGTCTGTAATGTACCATTTCTCGATGCGCTTTACATTCCGACTAAAACGGAAATTAAGGATAGAGAGCGATAATGACATGCTACAAAGTATTGAAGGATAACACAATCTCTCTCTAAATGACATTATTTTTTATTAAAAAAATTACTGCGCATTTGACCTCCATCTCACCTGATGGAAAGTAACATAAGGTACATAACGATGAGGCCGATGATGGCGCATGCCACTTAAATAATGCCTATTCAATCTCGCCTTGAAAAGGCCCAAGTTATACCGTTCAGGGAACAAGTCTGCAGGACGGAATTCCACTCCATAGTGGTTCGCTCTAAAAATAAACGGAAATCCGTAATTTATTGTATTTTTATTCCTGTTTTTTATTGAGTGTTTGTAGTTTACCAGGAATAAATAAATTATCAATATGAATTTTTTACCACGTAATTGGTCAGTAGTAGACTGTTATAACTTGAAAGCGTACCTCCTCTATTATCTCTTCCTTCATCAACTTTCTGAGTACTTCAGCAAGCTCGTGATGTCGCCGATGATTATGATAAGGATTGTAACCTATTTAGATCGAGGAGCAGCAATGGGTGGTGTCGTCAGTGAGCGGCGGCAGCAACGACGCGTGCGCAGCGTGGGAGTCACGCTTACGAGCCGCAAGGACTCTCATCCGCTCCGCACATCATGCACAGCGCAGGTTTGTTTCACAAATAGTTTGACTATTTTACAACGTTTGACTTCGTACCTGATTTTAGCAGCAGTATAGCTCCTTGTGAAAGAGATCGTCCAGGGAGGTACTGCCAAGCAGCAATATGAGCATTATTGCGTTGCGGTTTGGAAGAGTGTTGGTGTTGGTGAAATTACAGGCACATGGGACTTTTCAACGTATGTCTCAAATTTTTGTGATTTAAACCTCTGAACGGCGCTGCAATTGTCATGGACAGGTGTGTCGCTTACCATCAGGCGCACGACTTGTTCGTACCGTCACTTAGCATCATAAACAAAAATCTGAGAAATTAAGGACACTGAATCCTATTCTAAAGCATATAACCTTAATGTAGACTATGTTGCCTATACCCATCTACAATCATTCGAATTTGGTCAGGTAACAAAATATGTTATACCAAAATTTCGAATTCATAAATGTTTAGCTGCCATCAATTAAAAGCCTTAACCCACGAGCAATACTAGAATATTATAACAAATACTGCTAATTAATTACCCATTTACGTACATATTTATGTCTTACACGATTTTTCTGTATGTACTCTCCAAGTCTATAATCAACATTATAATCTGCGCCAATTAACAATATTTTAACGCTTCACGCAAAAGCAATCCTTGTCGCACTCCTTGCAGTGATTTGCGAGTTTCTAAACATATGGTCAACAGATGAGCCGGCTATTTTGACGGTCTGGCTGCTTGTTTTTGCAAGAACGCATGACGTAATTATTTATTTATATTATGATGCCATTATGATTCTTTAAGGAAACCTGAATAGCCTAGCCTTATCGAAATGAGAATGCAGAAGGATCGATCCACAAGATTTATTGTATGAAATGTTAAAAGAGGAAAAGAAAAGGCTGTAACAAATAAGAAAAGATACAATTACATTTATAATAAATTACACAGCCTATAAAAGTAATTAACACAATACTCACCCTAAAATGGCTAAAAAATGTAACTAAATAATTTTAATAGTACTCCACGTGAAGTTTCACAATAAGAAAATGAAGATGATTTATGGGCGCATGTCTTCTCGTTTCAACAATTTTGTTGGGAATGACGATGGATAGAATAAAAGGTAGAATAGTGAAGGAAAAGAGAACTCGAGAACGATTCAAAATTTCAAAAATAAATGAGCCAGACCCACAAAAGAGGATGATAAAAAGGTGGGATGATGATGAAGGTGTTCAGCATAAGTGCAGCACTTGGACAGATTATATAATTTGACTCTTAATTTTTTTAAAGTTTTAAATTAATTAAAAGTAATTTAGAATTTAATAGTAACCTTTAGAAACATAACAATTTAATTAAAGTGCTATTATAAAAATACGAACCCTGACTATTACGGTTCTTCGTAATTATTATTTTTGCGTTAAATTACTCTACCAATCATTATAATTACCTTTTCATAAGTGGATTTTGATGTTAATTCGCTCGATCGTTAATATTAGGTGTATATAAGCATGATACAAGTACATACCGCATAAAATTTCGGTATTGTAAATATTTGAAGGCTCTAAACTTAAGTGACATATTATCCTGTCGTTTTCTTATGCCTGACTGCATGTTTGCAGTTAATGCGTGAAATCGTAATCAACTTCATGAAGATAAGACTATACGACTGCATGAAGTTGATTACGACTTCACGCATTAACTGCATGCTGTCGATCTCGGCTGCACGCTGCATGAAGTTGATACGTTGACAGTCAATCTGTTAGCACCCTTACTAGTTATATCGAAAGAAAAATAGTTTGTCAAACAACTTAACATTAGTTTATATTTGCGCGAATTGACGCAAAGGAAAACATTAAAATAAAATAAAGAAAAAGGTTTGAAACGTTTGAAAAGGTTTATTGCCAATACAAATAGTTACAAATTCCTTGCTACTTACACATTTTCGTACAGGGTCATTATTTCTTGTTCATATGTCAACTTATATACTCGTATATGTCGTTATAAAAATACTCTATCCCAGGTACCTAAGTGGAAAAGTGCAAAGAGTAAAATCTACTTTCCTCCTCCAATGCTGACACTCTTAGCTACACTAATTGACAAGGGGGCTCCGCCTCTTCCAAACCTTCGGTTTCCGTAACCGCGGCCATAACCACGTCCGAAACCTCCACCACCGTAACCTCCACCTCCGAAGCCTCCACCGCCGAAACCACCTCCGTAGCCTCCGCCCGGGTAGTAAACTGGACCACCACCGAACGCACCGGATTGTGCGCTTGCTTGGCTGAAACCACCGCCTCCGAATTGCGGTGATCGTGGCAATCGAGCTGCAGAACGATATCAAAAAATGTAGTAGTTATCACTAATTTAATTTAGGTAGTTGTAAGTATATTATCGACCAGGCTTGGGTTATGATAAATTTACACATGCGTCTAGATGATCTGCTTCAGTAACTGACTTACGTAAATCAGAATAAAGGAATAAATGGGAATGACGTACTTAAAATTGTATAATACTTTAATCAACTTACCACTACTGCCTGCTGCAACTAAATTTAAAAACACTAAAATTAGTAAACCATATAGAAATATATTGCGCTCCATTTTTGTGTCTTCTTCGGTAAAATTTCAATTGCGCAATGAGATTGTGAAAACCACTATGGTAATTTATACTTATCCAGGCGGAAAATTTACAGACAATTAGAGACTTAGTGAGAAATTTGACATATCTATACCGTCAAATATGAGTGACATAATTTCAGTTCTTTGTCTAATACAATAAAGCCCATAATTGTCGATAGTCAGTAGATCACGGGCAAGCTCCTGTAGCGCGGGGATTAACATTGAATGCTATTTGTTACCAAAATATTTGCTTCCAATATAATTTTGCTAATAGATTTGTGGTTTCATGACATCACGGACTGCGGTACCTGAATGTTTGAACAAGTTTGTGTATCTCGAAAAGAAATAAAATAATTTTAAAAATCCAAATCGACACTAAACAATGACAAATTTCAATATTTTGTACACATTTTTTTCTTCAGGTTATAATGTTCTACTATCTATTGTGAACTCCTAATTTTTTTTTTAAATAATAATAATTTATTTCAATGTAACTCAAATGTGTTTTCTCTAAGAAAACACATACATTACGCACGAATAAAATAATACACCTCTTTTACGCGTAAACCTCTTCAGGTTTAAAGAAGTAAAAACTGCATAAGGCATCTTTGTAAAAGTAGTCATTCTGTAAAAGTACTTAGCACGTTTAAGCTCATAATGAAGAGTGAATGTTGGTAATAGATTCGATAGTAAAACATATTATAATTAATTTTCCTAAGTTTAAATGTAAAGTTTAAGATGCTCTACGTTAATTTAAAATAATTAACCCTTTAAATTTCACTTCCAATAAACACGCAAAAATATTTATTTTTGTAAATAACCTTTTATGGTATAAACTTTTAGTGTGAAACGCTTCTCGGTCTCTTATTGTTTTTACACAATTAATAGTGCAAACATTCTTGCGATTGCAAATTTATTTTCACAGGGCCAAAAACAAATTATCATTTTCTCACATTCTCTAGAATTTTTCGAAGAATTTTTCCTGAAAAATTGATGTGATAATACACGTTTATTCGGTAGGCCCTCAATTTGTTTCATTAAATACTTTCAATCGTCAGCTAACTCATGAATGAACTAAATGTCAAATCATGATAGTCTTGTGTTTATGTAAGCTTGCACAAGATGAGTTGCATTCTTTTGGGTCTCGTCAAGTCCCTGAGTTTACCTGCAATTCTAATAAAAACCAGAGTCTTTATGAAAAAAATATGTAGGATGCAATTAATATTCAATACGAACACAAGCCGAAGTATGCAATTACGTTCCATATTTGGTAGCACGACACCGCCAAATAGAGTTCGATTTAATTTAACGGCTTACATCAACCGGCTACCTCCCTTATTATCGAGTTCCACGGGAAAGTTCACGGTGACTCTAAAATATTCTTTGTTTATCCTATCCAGCGCTTTAAAATCTGTTTCGCGTATTTTTCTAACTAATCTTTAAATAGATAGTCATTAAACATTAACATTATATCATTAAAACTTTATATAACGTACATTAAACGGTGTTCGTAACTGGCATTTTATCTGTGTAGGCATAGTTAGCGCTATAATAGTAAGCATGATGTAATGCTTTGCAAGCTAGTTAACAAGTACTTGTTCGTTGTAGGTAATCGGGTGTAAGCTCGAAGTCGGAACGTGTGATATACTTGTCTCTGAAGAAGTCAATGACCTGAGATTTTGACTTGCCATAACACAAAATTAGGCGACAAACTCCTAAACATTGCAACCGCGTGCTTAATATTTAAATTTTTAATGCGTAATTATCTCATGCCTTTGAAGTTACAATTCTAGAACTTACCAAATAGAAATTGGCTGATTAAAAGGTAATGTTTTATTCAATTAGGTATATTAATTAATAACATTCTTATTGTGTATGTTTCAGAATTAAGACTTATCAAGACAGATAATCATAACAATGCATAACAGTCATACGAGATAATAATCATAACAATGCATAACAGTCATACGATCAGATGCTTACACCGTGTGTAGTCATGACGTCATCTCGAAGTGATCCACGTTTTGGATGTGGATAGTAAAATTTTCTCTAACGGTACTCGTTGCCTAACTTTCACTGAAATTGGATTTGATACACTGGGATAGATACATTTCATACGAAGGGAAGTACGTTCATTGTTTGGCTTCAGGTCGACGACTTTGGTTAAGTAATCCGGCTAATCGAGGGTTTTACGACCCTCCGCAAGCCACATTGATGCTATTTTGGAATTCTCTTCCGATATACACTACAGGCAAATATACACTCAACATCAAGCGAGAACATGGGTACATGATGTTCTTTTGCTTTGTATAAATCAATTTACAGCACATACCGCATAACACATTTTACGTTTGTCTGCTGAACGTCACTGAAGCTGTATGATTGTTGAAAACGCATCTTTTTTGTTAAGAGAATTTTATTCTACATCTCATCAAGTTGAAAATTATTTTGGGGTTTTTTGTATTTCTGGTTAATGTAGTTCTGTATCATGGACACTATCCCATTCTGTAACACCAATTTATTACACCCTGTGCCTAGTATATAGAAATTTATAAAAAAATAACCTACCGCATTATTAGAAGGTGGACTAATAGGGTACTTTACTCAAAAAATGTTATTTGTAAAAAATTTTTCAAATAACCTACATGAGCATGCTGAAAATGAATGCGGAATTTATTATATTCGATAATTCAACTAACTACAGATATATTATTGTAGTAAAGGTGGGATATGGTTTGTCTCTTTTTGGCATAACGATAATATAGTTCGTATGGCACCATTATGATTGTGTCGTCACGAGCAAGTATTCCGTATTTTTTACTCTTTATTACATACTGAATGCCTTTAACTATTAAATATTTGAACCAAATTCATATCTGTTCACACAATTGACCATCAATTTATGACTATTTTTAATGCTAATTGAAAGCATTTAATTTTCGATACTTGTCAAAACCCTAGTGGTAAAGAAGCCAGAGATAATACGGTGGCATTTATCAACTGAACTTTGACACCATAACCGCCTTTTGAGAATGAACCCTTATCGCGCGAAAGCGTTCATTCACAGCGCCAGTGACGCACTAGATTACTGTCTCACAATTTTTTGCTTGGCCCAACTCCTTAGTGGTCCTAATGAAATTCTGATATGAGTACATCAACAACTGTACACTTTGAACCCTGTCACGCCTTTTTGTAAATGTGATAGAGTTGAATTTCAATCTTTAATGTAAAAGCGAGATACGTAGTGTGACACGAACCATTCTTCTTTTTAACCGAGTTGAAAAAAAGGAAGAAGTTCTCAATTCGACGTTTTATATATATAGCACTTTCCAGTAACCGATTTTAATAAAACTTGACAAATAGATGTAATTCCGCAAACTTCCGTCGTAATAAAGGCAAGCTAATTTAGATTTTAATTTTTTTTCCTAATTTTTGAACAATAAACCTGAATGTTGTTTCGATCGACCCTAAAGTATAAACCTACATTTTGACATTAATTATAAATTAGTCCTGAAATCAATTTAGCTATTGACAGACAAACGTTTGAAACAAATACTTCGTATCTCAAGTCAAGTTACACTGATAGTGCCCTATAGGTTATCTCAAACTCAAACCACTGTCGAAATTGTAAACTTATCTATAGTTGCCCTTACTTCTGTATAATGTAGAGTTTCATATTGCATGATAAAATAAAATAGAACAAATTATTTTCTTCCATCTTACTAACTAGCCTAATAATAAAATTACCATCATTCATTCGTCATCACAATGATGTCAGTTACACTGACCATAGTAATAGCACAAGTAACTACCAAATGCCTTCGCGAAACACCAACGTCAACCTTTTCCAATGATATTGCCATTTGAAACCCGCAATCGTAATCATAAAGACAGGTATAAAAATGTTGAATGCCAAAGTGACCCCATTTTCACCAAGTGATAATTTGTCTGTATCTTCGAATTCGTTAATGTGTGTCTATACTCATTGCCTACCAGCTGAGATCCAATGAAGTGTAATGAACCAACAAACCTTTGTCCAGCTTTTACAATAGCCCCTTTCAGCACATTAAACAAAGCACAGACCCTATGAAATCCTATCGTATCTCTTTTGAAGACTGGCGCTTTAAAGCTCTTTGTTTTGCTTACCAACATTTCTATTGGTGAAGTTTGTAGTACATACCTTTTAACGACGTACTTATCATGAGCATACAGCCATTTAGTAAACATGAATAAATCTTGGCAAGCAGGAAATTACAGGCAAAATTTTGAATTATTTTATATTTTGTAGTTTTGTTGAGATTCTAATTTTAATAACAGCCAATAGATAATAAGCCAAGTTATCACTGGGCTAAACTATATTTAGGGTTTTATTATACTTACGTTGTGTTATCTTTATTTTAACAGGACTTTTTTAGGTACTTTTGTTATATACGTAATTAGTTTAAACCCTTGTCTTAATAATTACGGGTAGTAAAGTCGGTATATCGGTCAGATAGTATGTGGTTATCAGCGGATGTGTAGGGCGGAAGGCCGGCAGTTCTCTGACGGTATCGTGACTCACAAACGTTCTGTAATTGTTTGGATCCGTTAAAAATCATATAGCTGACTTTTGGATTGAGTTATGCAAATTTTAGGTCTGGGGTATCAATTGACAAAAGTTTTTGAAAGTATTATTGAAGCAAGTGTAATACTACATACTTGAGTGCTAGTTTTGCGTTAGTTGCTTTTAATATAACCAGTACAAGTTTCATACATTAGTTATTTTATTACGTAATGCAGGTTAAGTTACTTAAGACAAGTTCATAAAGTTATAATATAAAATTAGCGGCGCCAAGAAATGCCGTTATGATAAGGAAGTGGAGAAACCATGCGATCAGCAGTTTCTAACCAGACGACGAATGAAACAGCATAATAGCGACCAAAACAAAAAAACGCATCCCGAAATGCGGTGTTATTTTTGTTGCTTAGTGCCCGATTGGGAGAACGGCGAGCGGCGCGGGGGCGAGAGCGGTCGTCGCCTCGCACAGGGCCGAACTCTACTACTTGCCTTATTTCTTATTTTCGTATTGCTCTACTCGTGAATCGAAAAGATATAGTGGTGAACTTTTACTCCGGTTAGTACTTAAATAAGGACATTTTTAAATTAAATAATGTAGGTCTAGGACTGGACATGGTAAAAACCCCTTAATCCTTTTTATATACATATGCATGTAGATATCTTCATAGTAGGTGTGTAATAGAAAGATGTTTGAATTTTTGAAAATATTGTCTACAAATGAGAAAAAAATATTAATAAAATTGTATTGTTCTTATGAAATTTCTAACTACGAAGCTAAATTAAGAAAATTATTAAAAAATAATTAAACCGGAACATTTTGACGTCGTTTTTGGCTGTGGCTGCTCATATAATTTTATTATTATGTATGAGTGCAGGCTGTACCGACTGCGAAAAATTTTTTTACTGTACCGTATCGTAGAAAAACTTTCCGGGTCTTTCTACTTTTAATAAGGCCAAAATATCGAATAGGTACTCCGAAAAAAGCTGTTAATAGGCACTGTCCGAGTAAGTCTCTGGAAATGTAGGGCAGAGGGGCTCGGGTAGGCCTGGAGGCGGGGGACGTGGGGCGGCGCGAGAGTGGCTCTGCGGCGCGCGGCGGCCAGTGCAGCTCGCGCGCCGAGACTCCCTGCCCGGGCATGGCCATGCGCGCTTTATTTATCGTGGCCGCGCTTATCGCCGGCGGCGGCGCCGTTTACAACCGCGAGCGCGACCGCCTGCGCGCCGACCCGCGACTTCTTGAGCGTGCATGTGAACTTAGCTCCTGCTATCCCGCTACTGGGAACCTGCTTATAGGTCGAGAGGCGCGCCTTTTCGCCTCCTCCACATGTGGCGTCCACGACCGCGAGCGATATTGTATTGTATCACATTTGAAAGACAGAAAAAAATGCTTTTGGTGCGATTCTTCCAACAACACCATTCATAACCCGAGTCTAAACCATCGCATTCAGAACATTATATATAAATACTACCCCGGAACCCGAAACAAATCCTGGTGGCAATCCGAAAACGGCAAGGAAAATGTCACTATCCAGCTAGATATGGAAGCAGAGTTTCACCTTACGCATTTAATTATAGAGTTTAAAACTTTTCGACCGGCTGCTATGTTAGTAGAGCGATCCTTCAATTTTGGTAAAACATGGCGTGTTTATCGATACTTTGCACATAATTGCAACGAAGCTTTCCCCGGTGTTCCAACACACGATCAACGCAGTTTAACTGAAGTGGTGTGTGAATCTCGTTACTCGGGTGTGGCGCCATCCACTGAAGGTGAAGTTATCTTCAGAGTGCTACCTTCGCACATAAATGTAACGAATCCTTATTCCGAAGAGGTACAAAACCTATTGCGAATGACGAACCTACGAATTAATTTTACGAAACTACATACACTTGGCGATGACCTGTTGGATGACAGAGCAGATATACAAGAAAAATACTACTACTCTATATACGAAATGACAGTACGTGGTTCTTGCTCTTGTTACGGCCACGCATCGAGATGTTTGCCGATGCCTGGAGTGGAATCGAAAAATAATATGGTACACGGACGTTGCGAGTGTACTCACAATACTCGTGGTTTGAACTGTGAATACTGTGAAGATTTTTATAACGATCTTCCTTGGCAACCAGCTATAGGAAAGACATCAAATGCATGTAAACGTTGTACATGTAATAACCACGCTACAACCTGTCACTTTGATCCTGCTGTTTACAATAAAACTGGAAAGATTAGTGGTGGAGTATGTGACAATTGTCAACATAATACAATGGGAATCAATTGCGAAAGATGTCAACTAAATTTTTATAAAGATCCCAATTTGGATATTCAAAGCCCAGATATTTGTAAACCTTGTGATTGTGATCCGGAAGGAACTACCGACAAAGAAATTTTATGTGATGACGAAACTGATGTGACTAATAACAAGACTGCTGGCCGTTGCCTCTGTAAAGCGAACGTTGATGGACCAAGATGTGATAGATGCAAAGATGGTTTTTGGAATTTCAATCCTGACAATCCTGACGGCTGCGAGTCTTGTACTTGTGACCGATTAGGTACTATCAATGAACGGGGGTGCGATGCTTTAACGGGTAATTGTTTTTGCAAACGCCACGTTACAGCGAGGAATTGTGACCAGTGTCTACCACAATTTTATGGCCTTTCAGACAGTGATGATGGTTGTTTACCGTGTGATTGTGATATTGGTGGTTCATTGGACCGGGAGTGTGATGTGATAACGGGACAATGTAAATGTCGTCCGCATGTTACCGGACGGCGCTGTGACCAACCGATACAGAACTTCTACGTTGGAGCTTTAGATTCAATTGTCATCGAAGGAGAATCAAGCTTATGTGATTCTCAAATGGACGATAATGCCATTACGAGTCAATTATGTCATGTAGTTATAAGAGAGAATTTCCCAGATGGAAGAAAGGAAACTTGGACTGGTCCAGGCTTCATGAAGTTACCAGAAGGCAGTACCATAGTTTTTATTGTAAACAATCTAAAGAGGAGCATGAACTACAATGTTTTGATTAGATATGAACCTCAGTCTTCGCTTAATTGGGAAGAGGCTACCATTTTAGTGAAAAGACCATACGGTGTTGATCCCGATTCTCCTTGTGCTAATGTTCGACTAGAAAACGATACCATACAAACATATCTTCCATCAAACCAACGCAGTGTTCTAGTTTCACCAGCAATCTGTTTAGAAAAAGATAAAGATACAGAAATCCGTATTTATTTGGGCCGTCAAGACAGGCGTACTCCGAATCCTATAGCCACTGTTTTAATAGATTCTATTGTTCTTATACCATCCTTCGACGATTTACCAATTTTCAATGATAGCAACGTGAAAGATGAGTTTGATTATAATAACTGCGGTGACAAATATTTTTACGATCTTAATAGAGACAACATTCCTGAAATCTGTAAGAAATATCACGCAAGTATAGGTTTTTACGTAAGAAATGGTTCTGAACCCTGTCAGTGTGATCCCACTGGTTCAAAAAGTCATCAATGCGATCGCTACACAGGATATTGTCAGTGTGTAGAAAATATAGTAGGGACAAGATGTGATCGTTGTGCGCCAGGTACGTATGGTTTTAGTAAATTCGGTTGCAAACGCTGTGACTGCAACCACATAGGTTCGTTAGATAACTTTTGCGATGCTGCTAGTGGACAATGTAAATGCAGACAGAATACCTACGGTAGAGCGTGCGATTTATGTCAACCTGGATATTTCAATTTTCCCCATTGTCAACAATGTGACTGTAACGGCCACGCGGTAGAATGCCACGATAAAACAGGTGCATGCAAGGAATGTTTGGATCACACTGAGGGACAGCGTTGTGAACGGTGTATTGAGGGATATTATGGAGATCCAAGGCTTGGTGTTGATATCTCATGTCGCCCATGTCCTTGTCCTGGTGTTAAAGGAGACCCTACGAAAAACAATCATGCAGATAAATGTGAATTAAATTCTGTTACCAAAGATGTTGAATGCTATTGTAACGAAGGCTACGCCGGTCCACTCTGTGATGTATGCGACGACAATTATTATGGTGATCCTATTAGAGGTACCTGCGACAAATGTGAATGTAATGAAAACATTGACATTACAAAACCTCAAAACTGTGATCCTAATACTGGCAAATGTCTTAAATGTTTACATCATACGGCTGGAGATCATTGCGAAATTTGCGAAGAAGGATACTTTGGCAGTGCAATAGACAAGTCTTGTTATAAATGTAGCTGTTCTGTGTTAGGTACAAATTTTGCATTAGGCAATTGTGATGGCGTTACTGGACAATGTCCGTGTCTTCAAAATGTAACAGGAGTTAATTGCGATCAATGTATAGAGAATCATTGGCGTATAGCGCTAGGGGAAGGATGTGAGCCATGTGATTGTGACCCCATTGGTTCTGTTAGCCCACAGTGTAACCCTTATATTGGAAATTGCTCTTGTAACCCTGGTTATGGTGGCCGACAATGTGATCAATGTCAAGAAAATCACTGGGGTGACCCCAACATCCAGTGTTTTGAATGTGATTGTGACCCATATGGATCTGCAACCTCACAATGTATGAGACAAAATGGGCAATGCGTTTGTAAACCAGGAATGGGCGGATACAAATGTGATATGTGTGCTAGAGGTTACTTAGGTGAAGCTCCTCACTGTCAAGCCTGTGGTGAATGTTTCGACAGCTGGGACAAAGTGATTGAAGATTTACAAACCCAATCAGAATATGCCATCGGTAACGCTAGCAAAATTAAACTTGTAGGTGCAACAGGGGCTTACACACGCGATTTTGAAGATATGGCTAAAAAGTTGGTCGAACTAGAAACTATACCTCAAAGAGCTAAAGAAGGTGAAACCACTGTACAAAAGCTTTTGTTAGGTGCAGCTAATGTCCAAGAACAGTTGTCTAAAGCAGAGCAAATTGTCAAAGATAGCACAGATAACCTAAACGCCATCACATCTAAAATAAGCCTGGGCAATATAACTTTGGATACACTAAGAACGAACATCGAAAATTTAAAATCAAAAACGTTTGAGCTAGGTGAAAATGCAACCAAGTTACAAGAAGCTAATCTAGAAGGTGCTTTAAATATAACTAGAGAAGCTAAAGAAAGAGCCAATAAAGCTGCAGACGATGCTGAAAATGTGCAAAGAATTGTTGCTGACACTGATCGCCAAATTAAAAATACTGATCGACTAATTGAATTGCAATATCCTCATTTCAACAGCAGCCATTTAGTCAATGAGAAAAAACTAGATGAATTGCAAAATCAACTCTCGGATTTGGAATCAAAAATACCTAAATTAAATGAAAAAATGTGTGGTGTAGACAGTGACACTTGTGATATTTGTGGAGGAGCTGGTTGTGGAAAATGCGGTGGAATATCATGTGATGAGGGTGCTGTCACGAAAGCTGAGCAAGCGCTAGACTTTGCTGGAAAAACTGAAAACAGAATAAAAGAACACGAACTTACAGCCGAAGATTCGTTTAGAAATGTGTCACAAATAAAACAATCCACAATTGCTATTCGCTCGAAAGCTAATGAATTTTACAATAAAGCTGACGAATATAAAATAGCAATCGAACGACTTACCAATGATAGTCAGTTTCTTACTTCTGAAATAAAAGACTTTTTATCGAACACTTCTAATACTCCAGCAGATGTTAGAACTCTCGCCAATGAAATACTGAATCTGACCATAGAAATAGAACCTAAACAAATAACAGATTTATCTCAACGTATTAATGAGACTGTATCACAATTAACTAACATCGAAAATATTATAATAGAAACTAAACCTGATCTAGATAGGGCTAGAGAGCTCAATCTTAATGCAACTTCTATTAACAAAGCAGCAAATTTGACTTTAGAAACGGCTAATAAAGTTTTGGAAGCATTAGATGAAGCTCAAGCAGCTCAAGATGCAGCCGAAAATGCCATAAATAAAGCTAATGACGACATTGCAGCAATTAAAACTGAATTAATTCCTATAGCCGAAGAGACCCAGCAAGCTCAACAGAAGGCTAACGAAACTAAGGTGAAAGTGGAATTATTACAACCTCGATTAGAGAATTTGAAGAAAAATGTTACTGAAATTACTAACGCCGCTGACCAAGTACGTGAAGAAACTACTCACGTCGTAAATCGTGCAGAGAACGTTGAGCAAAATGCAAGGCAACTCCGACAAAATTTCAAAGAAGTTAATGCATCATTAGCGGAACGCGCTACTAAAACAGCGGCTTCTAGGGATCGAGCTCAGCTTTTACTCGAACGTGCGAATTGGCTTGCTAGCGAAACAACTAGACAGCTCAAGTTATTGGCGAACATGGAAGAATTATACAGTAACCACAATGAACAGATGCAATCGTTAGAAAAAGATATAGCTGAGCTTAATAATAACATGAAAGATTACTTATTAGAAATCACCAAGAAATCAAAAACATACAGGTCTTGTACGACATAAAAGAGCATTTATAACGTAGTTTTTAAATATCACGGTCAAAATTCATGTTCCTCCTATAATTGTTAATTTCTTGAGTGCCATAGTATTATTTCTGGGCTTTTGTCGTTAAAACTGTAGTTTAACTACTTTAGTGTATTATATTCAAATTGAAACAAGTGTGGGTTGTTAAACATAACCGGTTTTGGTGACTGTACTTACTTAATTGCAAATTTCATGATTATTTGTTTGGTACCCTATAAATTCTCTTTAATTTTTAAGTGACGATAAGGCGTAATTTTGATATAATTTTTGTGAGTCATAAAGTGAATATTCCTTAGTTAGCAATTAATAACAACATGTGGGTACAAATATAAATTATCCACAGCAACTGCAATTCCAAAGAACCTGGTAGATGATAAGTTCTTATTAGACTCGATTAATGTTTTATATAATATTAAAGACTAATGTAAACTAACAAGTTTATTAACGATAAGTACACTAAAGTTCTGTGCCTAAAGGAAGCTAGAGTTTTTATACTAATTTCATGTTTTTGACTTAAAAGAATATATTTTATTTATTTAAGTGTATACACCACATAAATACTTTTTGTGTATATTTTTGTTCGTGATTAAACCGTCAAACTGAATTATAACAATTTTGTTCTTTTTCAACAGTGCACTAGATTTATATAAATTGCATTTCTATTAATGCCCTTTACTTATATGATTATTGTTTGTAATAAATAATTGTTACTGTGCATATTAAACAATATACATAAGAATTGCTACCCAATGTGAGTAACCATTCAATAGACTGTAACATAATATTGAGGCACAATACTTAATGTAGAATGTTGTTAATAAATTTTTCGGCATATATTATAGTTTTCTTTCCAATTTACCTTTATTTCCTTTATCGATTAAATAGGCAACATTTTCTTTAGTCTGTAAACCACTGCCTTAAATATAAATACAAATTATTTCATGTCATTGTTCTTCTTTGTACCTACTTAACATCATTCGTTTTTAGACAATACAACTCCAAATACACATTGATTGATAATTTTTTTTCATTTGGCACTGTAATTTTTTAAGTACAATTATTAAAACAACTCTTCAAATTACATTTATTAAATATATGTACATATGTATACTATTATAGTGTTAAAATAGTGGGGTTATTTAAATTCTCGACAAACTCTTTCTACTACATTTTTTATCGTCAATTTATTGCAGATGGTTATACTTGGAACCGATTCTATCCAACGACCAAGGAGAACTGGGCATTAAGTTTCGCAAACTTGACCAGGCTTTCAGACAGGTGACCAGGATACTAGAGTCAGATCCTCGTCTGACTGTATTACTGCAGTCCACAAGACTACAATCGATGTTGGACTCTATATCGGAACAACTTCTTACTTGTCAGTCGGCCCTGAGCAAATATATTGATGTAAGTTAATTGTTTGAAGTAATTTTGTTGCAGATTTTATGGAAGTAGAATTCTATGGAATAAACTTTTATAGGTGTAATAAACATTTATATGTGTAATGATAAGACATAGTTTTTTAATTTGACCTAAGTAAATGATTAGATAATAGGGTAGTCAATAAACTTAGTGAAAATGTATTATATCTATTTCACCCTGAGAGAGGTTGGGACATGTTACCACTCAATGGGTGCCACATGATGGCCGTCGGCAGCGGTTCCGTAAACGTAGGCAACAATGTACTGCATCGTGTTATAATAGACGTAATTAGACGAAAATAGTCATGGGGGCTTGAATAAAGCTTTTAGTTCAGAGTAAAAACCAGGAACATATCTGTTACAGGAAAAGCGCACAATTTTCCCAAGATTATATTTCCTTAGCGACGATGACCTCTTAGAACTACTCGGTCAAGCCAGAGCTGGAGCGGAAGGTAGAGAAGCAGTAATGCAAACGCATCTTAAGAAACTATTTCCTGGAACCACTGGGGTAAAGTTAGGTCCTGGTGGATTGTCTGTAACGGCTCTGTGCAGCCATTACGAAGAAAACTTCCAGCTCGACCATCCTGTTGACATAGATTGTCCTGTTGAAGTGAGTTCTTAAATAATATTCGCGTCATCCTTTAGTCGCATATTGTTCATACAGCTATTATTTATCATGAATTCAACGTTCTTAATTGCAAATTGAAAATTTCAGATGTGGTTGAAAAATCTTGAAACGGAAATGCGCTCGTCACTCAAGAATATGACTCTAAAATGCGTTGTGTCAAATTCTTTGCAAAAGCAAGATCCTCTATCGCTGCCGACGCAAATTTTATGTCTCGCTCAAAATATTCGTTTTACTGAACAAGTTGAAACGGCCATTACTACTAAAGAGCTGCATAAATTAAAGGAGAATATCGAAAAAGAGAATTTATTTTACGCTTCCACCGAAACGGAGGATGAGAGTGAACGACATAAAAGACAGGCACTCATATTACAGTGCGCTTATTACACGTCCGTCATAAGAATTTTGATAGAGAATAACGTCGCATCGACTAAAGATTGGCTCTGGCAGAAACAGCTGAGGTAAATTTTTACTCAAACCTCTTGTACTTGAATCATTTTGGTCTTAAGACACAATTGGGTTCGCGGTATTGTGCATCACTGATTGTGGTACTTGTTTCCCATCTACAGATTCTACATGCAATCTAAAGAAGTCGTGGCTAAAATGGGCTTAGCTCAAATTTCGTACTCCTATGAATATCTCGGCGTTAGTACTGGACAGTTTGTACGCACTGAATTAGCTGACGAATGCTTTCTCGTTTTGACACAGGTATGTTGTAACATGGTTGTAACTAATAATCAACAAGTACTTAATTTATAATCGCTATTTTGTATAATTGCACGTAGTTAAAAAGAAAAAATCCAATGCACATCCATTTAACTGCCTCAGTGGCCGAACGGTTACCATGCCGGACTGCCACGCAGAGAACCCAGATTCGATTCCCGGGCCGCGAGAAATATTTGTTTGGCCTACATTTATTCTGTCGTGAGTTTGAGTGTAATTTGTATGTAAGTTGTATGTGTACTTACTTCGCGTGCCCAAAGTTAAGTGAAATTCACTTAGTTGCCGCTGCTACACTTCAGAACGCGCTCGACCATTATCGTAGATAAGCACCAGTCGAAAACGCGAAATATGCATAATTGTGCCATTATAGTAGACGTTTCCTTCCACGGGCAAGTGATTTTGGAATCAGAAGATGCATAATTTATTTTAAAAACAATTATTTTGGTTTTGTATGAATTTCGAGAAAACAAATATACTACCGAGTGTATGCCTCATGATTTGTAATACGTTGCGGATTTTACTTGGTGCGATATATTTGTGATCCTTTGTTAATACGCCATGAATATCGAACGAACGCATTTTTGTATAATGCATTCAATTTCGTGGTAAGGCCGCTTGTACATTTTTTTTTTGGTCAAATTTAACATTTAGTGATTATAAGTTAAGCAACACACTATTCGCGATTCTGAACGATTTTGAAAACAAAGGGACGAAAATTATTATGACCTTAGCAATATTATAAAAATATTCTATAACTGTTCTGTTATAACGTTTAGTAACGTTTCGTTATTTTTTTTCAGTTTTGTAGTAGTAGTAGTAGTAGTATCTGGAATTTCGATAATTTTTGCAGCACGTTGCCTCGAATGTTCGAATATATTGAGCAAATAATTACATACATCGCCGCATATGTAGTATGTGTAATACAAAAAAAAATATATAATGCAAAGAATTAACAGTGCGCTTTCTTTACAAAAATCTGGAGTTGGTCATACGTATGAGTTCGTTGCTTTCGAGGACGAACGTGGTCTAATTTATCCCACCTAAGATGCTATCCAAATATGCAAAGTAGCAGAGTTATAAATCCGAGAAACAATAAACAAATCACAAAAATTTCACACGAGGCCGTCATTAAGTAAACCTCTTCTGATTAACAAGATTTTACCATATTTTGTCAGCAGTCACATTTTCATTTGCCTTGCCATTCATCAATTTGATCAATTACCAACAGAAAACCATCTAGTAAAATTAATTGAGGCAGTCGCAAGTTCATATATCGGCGTGAGTTTTCATTATTTAAGTTAATCGATAAGATCTTCTATTACAAAAAGATGTTGTATAATAAGCTCATTTTATTGGAAGGACAATAATTTTAATATTTGAAGTCGATTAAAAATTAAAGTCTTAATATTTTTAAGTATTCAACATTTTTTAAAAAACAAGTAAAATAAAGGACTTAACTGTCTTATTCTAGTATTTTTCTACGATATTAATATTACGACTACTTGTAACCTACAAATACTGGAACAAAAATTATTATTTATTTATTTAAACACTTTATTGTACCACAAAGTAAATTATTATATTTAGAATCGATTAATTGAATGGAATACGCGTGTTTACGCGCATTCCGTTCAATCAATCGATTTAGAGCGAGCGGAAAGAGGTTTCGATCACTAAATAGTTCTTGTGACGTCATAGTGGGTACAAAAAATGTGTCACGCTTGGTTTTCGTAGAAATTGCTGTAGTTGCGGCGTCTATCTAGATATATGTCTGTGGTTTCCCTAGTACGAGGCTATGTTGAGTATGTGCGTTATTGTTATTATTATTATGATTATCCAGTCGTTCTCGAGATATGGCAGTTGAAGTTTAAAAATTTTTCTCACTCTTGTTTTATTTTCAAAACTTATAATGTCATGTAACTTCAGAGATATTTATTTATGTTTATATGTTGGATTTTTTTGCTGATCTAAGAGGTTAGACTTTAGAAACCGTTTGGTACATACATAGGGCGCACTATAAGTTTCCGGAACTGGCCACTTACATAAACAATATTTAAAAAGTAATTACAACATTTGAAAATGGAACTCTTTGGCTGTAAAATACAGTTTGTTTCATCTGACTGTCACTTGTTTTTACATTGAGGTGTCATTTTAGAAATTGGTTGTCAACATCACCATGGATTTAACACGTGAAAATTTTCGTAGTATGATTTTCTACGACTTTAAGTGTAATGTAACAGCTCAGCGGAGCTTCGCTCGGCTCCAAACTGGTTTTGGCGATGAAGCACCATGCAAGATGACTAGACAGCTGGTTTGCAGAATTCAAACGCGGTCGTGTGAATCTCAGTGACGAATTTCGTGATGGTCGCCCGTCCACTGCTGTGAACCACAAAAACATCGTTGCTGTGCGCTGTATGATCACAACAGACAGGCATGTGACATACCATGAGATTTGGGCATCTTTAGGCATAGGCATGAGTCAAATACAATCAATACTACACAAACATTTGGGTGTGAAAAAGCTGTGCTCTCTGTGGATCCCACACAATTTGACCGAGGCTCAAAAAACGGATCGCGTCACTTGGTGCAATGCTATGGCATTTTTACCAGATTCAACGAAGGGGCGTCAAATTTGGTGTGGGACATAGTAATAGGTGACGAAACATGGATTTACAGTTACGATCCCAAAACAAATCAACAATCAAGGGTATGGTTCTTTCGAGATGAGCCGAAACCAAATTAACCAAATTAAGAACCAGTTACGCGGTCAACGATTTTCATCACCTAAAGATGCTGTCGAAGAGTATGAAAAATATATTCCGTTTTCAAAATTGGTTCATTCGTATGAAAAAGTGCATTAACGCTAACGGAAAATATTTTGAGAAATAATAAATTCATTTCTGACCATTTATAGTATTTTTTTCTTATTCATTCCGGAAACTTATAGTGTGCCCCAAGTATAACTCATTTTTTGATAGTTTTGTGAATTGGATCCTTTTTGCTTAACTACGTTCAATTATGCACATAATAAATGTCGAAAATTAAACAACATTTCTGGATCTAGATCGCGTATTGTGCTTTCGAACAAACTTAAGACACGTAAACAAGTGGCTGTTTTTGTACGCAATAACGCAGTGTTGCAAAAAAGTACGATTTGGAACTAACCATACAGCGAATCTTTATCTTTAATAAAGCACCGGTAATAATATTTATTGTCGTAAGAAAATAGGTGCTTGATTCGCGATAAAGTTTCGCTGATTCTGCTCGTCGCTGTACGCTTAGTTCAAAATCGTAGTATTCTGCAACACTATGTTATTGTATAAAGGCATCGAATTTTGGAAGACAGAACAGTAAATATCTGCCACCTCTGGGTCACTACTTCGAAAGTCCTACCTAGAACAATTTAGGAAATTTGATTTTCAAGTTAGTTTCATCGAAAAATGTAGTAGAACCTCCTTTTGTAAAAACCACATTGCTTAACCACTGGCCACCGAGCGCGTGATAACGATAAACTGTTTTTTATTCGAACTTCAGGCTCTTCATCTAGGTCTAGTGGGAAATCCGTTTGGTCCAGCCGGCACAGGAAAAACAGAGTCTGTTAAAGCTCTAGGAGGATTAGTAGGTCGCCTAGTTCTTATTTTCAATTGCGATGAGGTAAGTCAATGTTTTTCTTTCTCTTTTATGGCTAAAATTTTTGACGGGAGAGTTTGACAAGATAACGCAGACGACAGTCTGCAAGATTAGATTTTAGGGCTGTAAACTTTTTAAAAACCTTTATTTCAGTGACTACAATCTAGTGATTATTCGCGATCCCCATCAACTCATTACAGAGCACGGGTATTCTTTCTTGAGAGGGAAAATCTCCTTAAACAGAAATACAAATATGAACATGCTTCGTGTACAGCGTATTCATTTTAAATTCATTGAGGCTCGTGAAAAAAGCTGTGATGCTGTTGATGAAATATTTTGACCTACTGCCTGTCAAGGTCGTGGATTCGAATCCGGGCTTGCACTTCTGAAATGCAATTTAGGATGTGTGTGAAGGTTCCAATCCGTATTGAACTCGCGTAGGATATACTCCCAAACCTACTCATTTTGGAGGCCCAGCAGGAGTCTGTGTAGGCTAACTACTATTATTATTAAGACTCGTAGCACAAAAATACGACTAATGTCTACAAAATATTCCAGGCCATGGATGCAGAATGCATGGGACGTCTGTTAACCGGACTGGCTCTATGTGGCGCATGGGGCTGCTTTGACGAATTCAACCGTCTGACGGCCGATACATTAGCTGCAGTGTCACATCAGCTGGCCTCATTGCTCTCTGCCATGCAGCAACGCAGACCCGGTTCGGCTACTGCCTTGCTTAATGGGAAACAGGTATTATTTATTTCTCAAGACATTTTACTCTTGGAATAAATTGAGCTGAAGTTGATTTTATTTAAGCATCGAGTCTGAACTATTCTAAAATAGATACCAACTAGGATAAGTGAGAAACGAGTGTCTATGAATATGTAATCATGGACAGACGTCAAACGTACACTTAAATTTTAGAAAATGGAAATGGATCCATAAGAAACTGTTTTATTTTAGTAGCAGTACAGCTCCTTGTGAAAGAGTTCGTTCAGGGAACTACTGCCACCTCACATATTTCTGCCTCCGAGCAGTAATGCGAGCATTATTGCGTTCCGGTTTTGAAGGCTGCTGGTGAAATTACAGACACATGGAACTTGTCAACTTATGTCTCAGTGTGACGGGCCCAGCGGCAGTGCCCGTCAGGCCTTTGCGATTAAAAGCGCGTCACGTGGTATTTTTAAAAAAATGTCGAATCTAAATCGGTTCCGTGGACATGGCTTACTAAATCTGTATAAAAACCTACATACAGTGTGTTTTTTAACTGATGCGGTATGGGGAAATCCGAAACTATAAGAAATATAGGGAAACTGTGTTGGGAACCAGTAAGTCTATTTTTGGGAAAACAATTTTTAGTCAAGCGTGTGTTGTCCATAAAAATGAATAAAATTCTTTTTTTTTTCGTTCTGATCGACTCAGTTTGATATAAGGTTCAATTCCTTATATTGGAAGACAAAAGTCGGTACATCAGGTGTTGCTCAAATTGAATAAAAATATTTTTTCTTACAAAATGAATAACATTTATAAGCCTGTATAAAAAAGAAAATAATTTCAAATGTATAACAATCGCCAAATTCATAGGACTCAATTGATACAGCTTATTTCCAAAAACGTCAAAAATATTCTAAACTGCAATCATCCAATTAAAAGGGTGTACCATAAATAAATTTGTTTCCTAGATCACAGTATCGGAATGGTGCGGAGTAGCAGCAACAATGAACCCAATAGGTCGCGGGTATGGAGGTCGAAGATCCCTCCCTGCAGCATTGGAACGTGTGCTACGGCCGATAGCCATGACGCAACCCCGAGGGGACCAACTGGCTAAGCATTTGCTGGCAGCAAGGTGCATCGCTAGTGCTCCGGCCTTGGCTGAGGATCTGTGTACTGTATTTATTATGGCCAGGTAATTCTTGTTTGCTCACAAGGCTGATTGACGATTCAACGTACAAATGCAATAAATGAAGATATTTATGTAAACGAGCTACTTGTATTTATTGTTATTAATAATTAAAATAATACTTAAAATAATAAACTGCCTCTGTGGCCGAAAGGGTACCATGCCATGCAGGTTCGATTCCCGGGCCGGGAGAAATATTTGTATGGTCTACATTTATTTCTCTCGTGAGTTTGAGTGTAATTTGTGGTTGTCTATATGTGTGTCCATGGCACCCGCGACACAGGGTTTCCCTAGTGCGAGATTATATTGAGTGTGTGCGTTATTATTAAAAAAAAATAAAAAATTTGGTAATTTTCTTAATGGACATTATTATATATATTATAGGTAGTAACTTCAGTAGGCAAGCTTTTAAGGTCGCTGTGACATTTTAAATCGCTGCTTTGCAAAAATAGTGGGTCAAACCAAAAATAGTTCACTTTTAGTAATAATGCGTCACACAATCACGCCAATTGCCAGGTCTCAAACTAGGGAATTTCCTGTACTATGAGTATCAGAGTCACGGAATTCACTCTCAGAACATCCAGGCCAGAATCATTTTAGAAAAGTTCATTTTTCATGTTGATCCTACCGCAGAACGAACCTGGAACCTCATCATCCAGCGCCCACAGTATAAACCGTTGGGCCACCGAGGTCATCAATTTACCTTATTGTATAGCAGTATTTAAAATGTGTTAAATGTTATTATGAAAAAGACACCGAGTTTTCCATTGGTCAAAATAATGATATCACAATTTTGGACCGAATACAATTCGCCAGCTTTGTGTGCTGCATATGCCTCAGTAAATATTTTTATCCTGCATCTTCAGGAAGAAAAATTTGATTATTTCACTACTCTAGAAAACTATAATTAACAGTAATTCATTGGTCCCCTTCCAATTTATATTTGTGAGATATTTCGTTTGTTTCGGGATATTTGTGGGCTCTTTAAGGTTTCAAAAATAATATATCAAGTCATCATATAGAGTACTCAGTAAGCTGACGAGAATTTTTGTATTTAAACTAATGTAAACTATTTAAGCACTCTACTAAGCGGACAGCGGCATTACGATTGGGGCCTCCGCGCTCTGAAAGCGACTGTAGGCAGCTGTGGCATAGCGCTCAGCGATAGCGAACAACCGTCTGAGGCAAAGAAAGCATTGCGACGTGCATTACGACTAAACAGCGTTTCTAAACTCACACGTCATGACGCTGAAAGGTAATAATGTATCGCTATAACGCGTTTGGTTGTCTATGTTCCACCAAGTCGTACGAACTAAGACCAGAATAAAAACATTTCGCGCCTTACAACTACGTACAATAAGTATTTTAGTATCATTAACATCTTTGCGCATACGGAACATACATTTACGCGGCGAATTATTGGAGTACTTTCTCCATCTTAAGCTGTTATCTAATTCCTTTATTTTGTTTTGTCTCGATCATTGAAATTATAATTGTTTCCTTTAAAATTTAACGTTTTTTTACAATATTTATTATTATTATTTTAACATTTTTGTTTTTGATAAGACACACAGGAAATATACTAATTATTTGTACTGATATCTGTATTAAATTAAATTATTAAATAATAAACTCTCTATTTTACGTCTTGTCATTTTTGCTTCTGTGATATCCTGTAATTGGCATTATGTATTTGCTTACTCAATATATATTGTTAAGTTTGAATTATACGCTGTTAGATGGTCTATAATAAATTAATTAATTAAATTCTTGTTGGAGAAGGTTCATTAAAACTTTTCAAATATATGTGAAGTTTTTAAAGGGCTTTTGTCTAATTAAATATTACAATCGTATTGCAGATTTGAAAATATTCTGTCAATAGTGTTCGCCGACGTTACCGACGACGAATCTGAAGCGTGTCCTATTCAACCAGCTCTTGAAGCATCCATTGCTTCGCTTAGTCTTATTAAAAACGATCTACAGGTAAACATTACTTATTTCAGTCGCCAAGCAGTAATGCTCCCAAGAAGTAATGTGAGCATTACTGCATTTCATTTTTGCAGGGTAAAGGTGCTGGTGAAATTACAGGCATATGGGACTTTCAACTTGTCTCAGGGTGACGGGCGCAGTGACAGTGCCTCTCAGATCTTAATGATTGGCACTGCAACTGTTATGGACAGGCGTGTCGCTTACCACCAGGCGCACAACTTGTTCGTCTCGTCACTTGGTATCATAAATTGATAAAAACAAATACGTATTAAAACTAAAGTGTCATTCGTTGTATTTTCAATCTCTATCTATTAATATAGTCTATTTTCATTAATTGTTTTTTCCTAGCTTGTATATTATATCGTTACAGATCCAAAAATGCGTTGAACTGTACGAACAACTGCAGCAAAGGATGGGTGTCGTCATTGTTGGTCCTCCAGGATCAGGCAAAACTACAATTAGAAAAATACTAAAGACTGTAAGTTACTTTCAAACTAGGACTCATACCTTTTCCAGTAAACTGAGATAATGAGTTTCTGTACCACTTTGTTAGCTTTCGAACTTCTTCTGTTTTCTCTTATCGTTCAAAAGTCAACTTAGAGCTATCTAAGGTCGAGATTTATAAAATTAATTTTGACTTGGAGTAAGCAAAACTTGCGAGCTAAACAACTTTTTCGCATTTACGGAACTAACTTTGCCTATGTTTAAACAAGAAATTACGAACTAAACTCAAAGTTTAATTTAATTTCTTGTTTAAATTTGGGCAAAGATCGTTTCGTAAAAACAAAAAACATGCTTAGCTCTTCATTTTGGCTTAGTCGAAGATAAAGTTCGTTTTATAATTCTCAGTCTAACTGGGTTTCGTATCAATATCTTTATTACTCCATAGGCTCTCATACAACAAGGCAAAAGTATCATAGAGTACACAATATGTCCTAAAGCGATGAGTCGCAACTGGCTTTTAGGTCATATAGACCACGATACGCGCCAGTGGACCGATGGTGTCATCTCGTCTACTGCGCTTGAGATATCGAACCAACCCTCTGGTAAGGAAAGTTGCAGTCACATTTAATGATCAAAGTAGTCTATCTATTCTCATCTACTAGATACATATCTTTTGTAATACTCATATTATTTGAACAATATTTTAAAAGAACGAAAACTTTACGTGCTTCTTCTTATCGTATTGATGACATACACAATATTACTGTGGCCCAGAAGTAATTGCCGCTGCCCGTGTCACTAGTAGTAGCCGCCATGCTGAACATCGGCACATGTATTAGGTGCTATCACAACCATAAGCATATGTTAGTTTTGGAAATTCTTCTTGAGTTACCCAGCCGGACTGCTACGCAGAGATCCTAGGTTCGATTCCCGGGCCGGGAGAAATATTTGTATGGCCTACATTTATTTCTCTCGTGAGTTTGGGTGTGATTTGTGGTTGTCTATATGTGTGTCCATGGCACCCGCGACACAGGGTTTCCCTAGTGCGGGGCTATGTTGAGTGTGTGCATTATTATTATTATTATTAAAAAAATATTTCCGTCAGTGAGTTTAACGTACTCGTCAATGTGAACAACTTTTGTTCTGAATCAACTAATATGGAAGAAATCAGCTTTTCCATATGAAATGTGAAATGTAGATGTAATTTAAGGACGCGTTCAAATTAGTCGCGCGAATGTCGCGCGGCTGCAACGCTGCTGCAGCGCGGCTAACAGCGGCTAATTTGAACGCGCCCTATTACATTAAATTGGATGTTATGTGCCTATCCCCCCTCATCTAAACTAACGTCATCGTAATTTTTAGCGAAATTGAGTTATTAACATCAAGAATCAGCGAAACGAGATATATGTACAACCTCCTGTAAGCGGTTTTTTTTATATTATTTAGTTTGTTTTATTGACATTTTTCAAATAAAAAAAAACTTGAGGTAAATTATCTTGACCAAAATGCAAATGCGTTACTTATGATAACGAGAGCAGTATGCTCGAAAAATGTGTGAAAATGTTTATATACCCATTTTGAAATCTTCATAAGAATTGTTAATGCTTTTAAAATATAGCCCTCGTTGAAAAAAATGAGCGACTAATTTAACAATCTGTATACATACCAGGTTCAATGAAGGCGAATCTGTTTTATCAAATAGTTAGTTTCAACTAACCATTTGATAAAACAGATTCGACATTTAATTGACTCTTTCACTGTTTATTTTTGACGACTTTCATGTCCTAGCGGTTAGCACTGTGAACACTAGAAGAGAAGGTCCAATTCCCGGTAGGACCGATTTGGAAAACGAACTTTTTTAAAGTGATTCTGGTTTAGATGTTCTGGGTAGTGCCCGGGACTTTATTTCGTTGCTCATTTCAGGTACTCATAGTACAGGGAGTTCCTAGTCTCGGACCATAATAAGACTCAAGTTTCGGACAGTAATTGGTGTGGTTGTTTGGCGTATAAGATCTATTAGAAAGTGTATAACCTAATGGATAATAATAATAATTTCAGACGTTTGGTCATGGGTGGTATGCGACGGTGATATAGACCCAGAATGGATTGAAGCTCTGAACTCTGTTTTGGACGACAACCGTCTGCTAACGCTACCATCAGGATGGAGGATACAGTTCGACTCAAATGTCAATTTTATATTTGAAACTCACAGCTTGGAACACGCTTCGCCGGCTACTATTTCAAGGATGGGCATCATTTTACTGAGGTATGTATCTTGAATAAGATGATTAAGAACAATTACAAGATTTTTGTAACAAACGAAAAGTATGTGAAGTACGGAAAAACGGAAGGTGTGTGCTGCCTTGATTTCGTAGCAGTGCCGGAATGGATTTTTCATAGTATAGTAAGATAAATAGTGCAACTCCCGCCTGTTCGGCGCGTCAATGCCTTTCATTCGCTCGGAGCGTAGGGTTGTCCCATTATTATTGTAGTTGTATCTACAGGTTGTAGACATAATTTATTTGTTGTATTGAAATAACCTTTGTAAACTACAGTACTTACGTATTTAAATAGGTATTTTTGTATCGGCATCGCGGATTGATATCTCGATTACGGGAGAATGTTTATGAAACAGAAATGAAATGTTGAACAATTCCGAATTTGAGGCACTCTTTTAAAAACAACTATAAATAACACACAAACACGTCTACAATTTGATGTCATTTTTTAAACACCGAGCGAATACTTATGCGATGTGTGCGTCCGTACAAAGCGCGCGGCGGGCGCGCTCACGTACAAGCCGCGATGATATTATATATGTGTGAAATTTCTCTACTAGTCTTATTAAATTACGCCATTGTGGATGTCTGTCAAGGGTTCTTATCCCAAGAATTTTTGATTTAGTAATTTTTTGTCGTCAACAATATGTTACTATTTTACAGTGATGACACTAGCTGTACCTCGGAACTTTTAGACAACTGGATGCAAAAGGCAGAATTTGAAACGGATACAGCGAAACTGGCACTACCGTTGCTGCAGAAAACAATTGATAAATGTTTATGTTGGCTCACCAAACATCGGTCGGATGTTGCTTTGAAAATTTACAATATCTCTGTGGTTTGTAACTGATATTACTTGGTAAAGAAAAAAAAATACATTAGTCTTTAATGTCTAGATTTATGCAAGATGAATTAAAAGAAACCCTGTAGGCATTACATTTTTTTACCATTAAACGATTAACACTAATTACAGGTTTCTTAACACGGTATGATTTCTTTTTATTTTCCTGATATTTCGGACCGACTGCACGCTCCATGGTTACGTCTTGATTGTCCAGCAGCTGATGACAGCTTTAAGAATAGACATGTATGTCTATACTCTTTCGCTGTGGAAGACTTCATCTGAATTACTTTTGGTGTTAACATTATCACTCACTTTTTTCCAACTGACCACACTAACTATATTCGTACGTGAATCTGAAATCGAAACATTTTTGTTTTTATTATTATACTATTGTTATAAGCACTAAGCATTGAGCCTGTGTAACCACGAAACTCTTAAAATCTATATAACTTTTACCATATTTCGCACTTCCAAGTACTTATAAGATAACAGACAAAATAGGCGGCGAAACAATAAAATGACAACTTAACAAAAAACCATTTTAGGTGCAGCAAATATTAATTCAGTTTGAATACGTAGCTCACAACGTTGGAGTTAGTGTGATCCACGGAGTGAATATGATACATACTACGCCAGAGGAACTTGTCTATCTCTCATTGCAACGAAGTGTAATCGGTTTGCTGAAAGAAAGCGCTGTTGTTAGCTTTCAAGACGAGGTAGGCAAAGAATCCTCGTCTTACTGTTATCCCTAATAAAGGGCTTATATGTGTAGCATTATTTTAATTTTAAGACTTGTAGCATATGAATGCAATAAATATATTGAGTATTGAGAATTGATGGTTCTAGTACGTGCAAGTGACATGCAAATACCTTTAAATTAATTTATTAACCAAAAAAGTCTTGGTATTTAATGATTTGGCCTATCGCCTCTCAAGCAGAGGGCGTGAGTTCGAATCCGGGCTTGCACCTCGTCACTTTTCCGAAATTTATGTGCGAAATTTAATTTGAAATTTACAATGAGCTTTTCGGTGAAATAAAACATCGTGAGGAAACCTGGCACTCGTCTGCAAAGCAATTTAATTATGTGTGTGAAGTTCTCAATCCGCGTTGGGCCCAAGCCCTCCCATTGTGAGAGGAAACCTGTGCCCAATAGAGGAACCATATATATGCTAATTATTATTATTTATTACATTATCATGCTAATAAAGTCGCTTTTGGCTTCATATGTACTACGCATGGGAGACTGAACATTTGTTTGAATTTAGATTTTTAAATGTAATACTTTTTATTTTAATATTATTTACATTATACATGGCTTAACTATTTCCTAGATGTCAGACATACTGGGACCACCCTTGGTGTCACCAATAACACCGGGAGAGTGGGTGACAGAGTCGTTGTTTGTGTCTTCACGCCTAGCGGCATGCGAGCCTGTAATACGAGCGTGTGTGGCTTCGGATACGGCTCACTTGCTTGTCATTGGTCCTGATGCTTGCGCAAAGAAGTAAGTTAAACTTTTCTGTCCAGGCTACCTTTTTAGTACTACGCTAATTAAGCTTACTTTAAAAGTTGCACAAAAAAGAGATTAACGTTTAAGATATACAATAGAATATGGCCGACATTTGCCTGAAAAAGATATTTTCTCAAACATGCTCGGAAATGTTTGCATTACTTTCAAAAAACGAACACGGAAAGTTTGTTATTTATGGACCATGCGACTTCTTCCCGGCCAAGGCCTGCAAAGTAAGTATGAAAATCCATTACTGTCCTCTTCTCTCAACTTTTAAATCTACCTACTAATAATGAACTATGTAAACAGACTAAAGAAAAACTCTTACGTCCAACAGTCCAGTGTTCATAACTGCGAGAATTATAAATACCTACCTATACCGCAACATTTAAAGTAAAATGTTTTGGTATTCTTTTGTTTTTTCGTCTTTTTTGTATTTTGTCGCGAAAATGAGTGCTAGTGAGAAGGGCGATAACGAAAATACAGTCAAACACATCAGGAGTTCAGCAGACTACTGTTAATGTGCTATTAGACTACTATAAATTCTTTAAGCAATTGTTTTGTATAAATTTTAATGTTAATTAATATTTTTTTTTACTTTTTCTATTATAAATCTTCCTCTCTTTAGTCTTTTATTATTTCCTCGCATTGTTTGAGAAAAAATTTATACATTGGTCGGCGGAAACGGGTATTGCTTGACTCGTATTAATACAAGGCCACGCTGGCGCTCGTCCTTGTAACTCATACGCGTCCAACAATCCCTTACTTCCCGGCATCGGCAGTAATGTAGTAATAATTACTATACCCTTGTCTTTCAGCCTAGAAACAGAATATGTCTTAAGAGAGTCCAGTTCGACGGTTATAACAATAGACTGTACCCCTATCTTGGAACCAGAGGACATAATTTCAGAACTGAAAAGGGTAAGTTCACTGGGTACAAATGGTCTCAAAATTGAAAATACACACGGGAAAAGCTTTGTTAGATAAGTATTTTGCATTGTAACAATTCAGATCGTTGTTGCTTAGAATAACGCAGTGCGATCTGGAGGACGCAGTTCTCGGTCCGGTAGTACACGCATCACTATATTGGCGCGTGCCCTGCATCGTGCTCGAGTCGATTGTTGGGGTTCCAGTCCCGTGCATTCCTTCCTTTTGCAGGTATGTTTATGAAATGTAACTAACTCACATTGTGATAGTAATATGAAGTTTTGAATATCACAATGTTTTACTACCATGATCTGAAATTACAAAACATAGGCAGATGGAGCATACGCAACAAACGATGTGAAGCCGCTTTTCATTTATTGTGTGCGTGACAACTAGGAGGGACGCTGTAAGGACATGCGCATTTGTGTGCGTGTAAGATTGCCAGATAGAGCGAAAAAACTCCCGCATTTTTTCTGATGCTTTCTATATGTAATACTAATGTTACAAACTGGAATAGTTATTTTGCAATATGGTACTTAAGTGGTATTAGCATATCAAACAAATTATTTGCAATATAAGTTAGTTAGGTGTAGTTAGTAGACGTTTTGACGTTCTACGACCACACGGAAAATCGGATTTAAGGCGTTAAAAACACGAATTCAATTTTTTTTTTCAATTTAGTATGAAAACAGGAGATACCGTTCAGTGAACTATAGGGGCCGAAACACGATTGACTAAACTTCACACGATGAAAAAAAATCACAAAATTTCGCAATATTTTCATTTTTTACTAAGTTTATCGAAAAATCAGTTTAATTCCATTGTTATTAGAAGCATTATACTGAAATTTTCTCACCCATTATATATACGAAAGGGGACTGTGAGCTTATTTTTACAGTAAAATAATGTTTTATTTCTAAAAGGCAATTATTTAATTATCGAGCTATAAATTTCCCCGCGTCTACTTCACACACTTCAAAACCTACGCAACCACGATACCATTTCGCCTTAAGTGTTTCTTATGATTCTTGGCAGTATTTTTTCTGATAACGGACATAGATGCACAAACGAAAAGTGAACGAAAAAGAAAAACCCATTACTTTAATTTACGATCAAGTAGACATCGTCAATGTCTTTAACAACATTTTTCTTACAATTTGTAGTTAATACAAGAGAGTGGGTTCTGGATGCGCGGTAGCGACGAGGAACGTAGTATGCAATGGTGCAACGTGGTTAAAATAAGGGTCATTGCCACGGCTAGCTCATTGTCCACGCTTTCGCCGCGATTGGCAGCAACTCTAGGCGTCGTATCCTTACAGTAAGTCTAGTACCATATTACGTCGAATAGCATGAATTCGTAGCGAATTGTTTATACTTCAGAAAACTTGGAGTGATGCTCTGCTTTTGAAGTATAAAATGATAGAATTTGTATCTACTGCATAATCAACTTTTTTTTTTTAAAAAAAAACTTAAAATTATATCAATGTTACTTTTTATTTTATTTTATGTAATAAGACCCCAGGGGGCCAACCATAACCTTTCCAAAAACAATCTTATTTCAATGTAAGCTTAAAGTAGGCTTATTATAATATTACTCATATTCGTACCTTGATAAACCTGTCAACCAAGAATGTATTATTGCTAAAGTGATTGAAAGAATGAATGATTTCCCAATATTGTCTATTTCTTACTAAAAATAAGAAAGAAATAACGCTATATGAATTATACAATGCCATCTCTTTCTTTTTTGACGTTCCGAATCGTCTTACCGTAGTATAATGTTTAAGTACTTAATGTTATTTACATTCAGAGAATTTTGACTATTAAAAAAAGGAAAGTTTGTAATAATTAAATCTATTAAAATTACGTTGTTTTCAATTATTTTTCCGCATTTTCATGAAGAAAAATAAATAAAACAAGCTGAGTCTTGATTGTCACGTTGTGAATTCGGAGTTATAGTCTAGTGTCAACTGTTAGTGTCGCCAAGGAGCTTATAGATGTCGCTGTTATAATTTTACGAAATAAACATCGCGTATCTTTATTTAACGATCAATTATTTCCTATGTACTATTATATAAAAAAATAAACAAAATATTGAAGAGATATATGTAAATAAATAAGTTAAACTTTTAGTTATTACCAATCAATATGAAGACAACTGAAAATAATATTGTTTCCATTACACCCGTGTAACTATTTTAAGACTGCTAAATTTGACATAAGAACAATATTAGTTTAATGTTAAAGTCGCGTCATAGTACGAACTGAGTGAATGAATAGTCACAAAGCTGCCAATAAAACATCATAGTTTTAACATTATAATAAGCTTACTTTAAGCGCGTCATAGTACGAAAAGTCAATGTAAGGTTAAAGTAATATTGTTTTAAGAGGTTGTGGTATGCCTCCAGTGGATAGATAATATTGCTGTACAATAACTTACTAATGTGCACTGATGACTTCGTGCATCTTCAGATAATTTTGTAAACACCTGGCATGCATGTTTCTTAAGTTTTCATTTACACTTTAAGATACTAAACTGTACTATTCAGATAGGTAATCTAATCTGAAAACATCACAAATTTTTTTTTATACAATATCAAGTGACGGTATGAACGAGTCATGCGCCTGATGGTAAACTACACGCCTGTTCATAACAGTTACAGTGCCACTGACAGCTTTAAATCGCAAGGATCTTAGGGGCACTGCCACTGCGCCCGTCACCCCTTTTTTTTTTGTCACCCTGTGACATAAGTTGACAAGTCCCATGTGCCTGTAATTTCATCAGCACCCTTACCTTTCAAAACCGGAACGCAGCAATGCTAACATTAACATTACTACTTGGCGGCAGAAATAAGTAAGGTGGCATTACTTTCCTGGACGAACTCTTTCATAACGAGCTCTGCTGCTTCTAAAATACATTCATATTATAATTATTGATACATTTTAGAGAGCCTGACGATGACGAACTAATGGAATTATCACGGTACTACTTAAGACTAAACGTCGATAAGGCTTTACCCGACAACGATGTATCCAACTTTGCAAGTACTATTTTAGCAATGTTCAAGGAGGTGAATTCATAAATTTGTACATAGTTATATATTTTAATAAAACATCCGTCGAAATCATTAATGCAAATGAAATGCATTCTAGGTAACAGAAACATTTTATTCACGTCCACATTACCAATGGAACTCCACACATTTAAGAAAATGGTGTGAAAATATGAAATGGTATACACCTTCTGACACCACGGAACTAACTACGGTAATTAGTCTTAAATTTTATAATAGTTAGATTATTATTTATATTACAAATAAATAAAATATATATATATATATATATATATATTATATATTATTTTATTTATTTGGTCAGTCAACAATTGTTACACCAATAAAAGATCAGAAAACCTATAAACAAAAAAAACTTAAAACTAAGTGCACTATTATAGACCGACACTACATGCACAATAAATTATTACAGAGTAAAAACAAACTTACAAAAAGAAAAGTGTAAACGTTAATTTAACTATATAAATCACAAAAACAAATGGTGTTAATATCTTAAGACTAAGCGAAAGCATAAAAAAGAGGTTAGGTGACGGAGTTTTAGGAAGGTGACGACATTTCGCACTGGGTTCTTACTGCAGAGAAGTAGTGTAAATCAATCGTTGCGTTGTGATCATTGTACAACTGGCAAAGCCTAGCAATGGGAGAATTCGCGCCTAAAACAGTCCTGCGAAAAGGTTTGCAAAGAGGCTTTATGGGAAATCTAGGTAGTCTGCGGGGAATATTAAATGATATAAGGTTTAGAACTGAACTGCATGTAATTTGATTATTTAATAATTTATATAAAAACATCATATATAAAATGTCCCGTCGCTTCTCCAACGACAGCATTTGGAACTTTGTGAGTCATAATTTTTCTTGATTCTTGATTTTTCAAGAAAGGAGATGAAACCCTCATGAAGAACTACAGACCTATCGCGCTCTTGAGCCACGTTTGTAAGCTGCTTTCGAGAGTCTTCACAAATCGTCTCGCCGGAAGATTTGATGTTTTC